AGATAGATCTATAACTTTAAGATTGTTATTGATACTAGGATTATTAATATTATAAGCGCTTATGCTCCTCAAGTAGGTTTGTAAATGTGTTTAAAATTAAAATTTTAGAATGACCTAGAAGAATTAATACAAAAGATATCTTTCGAAGAAAGTTTTTGTTGGAGGAGATTTAAATGGACTTGTTGGTAGAGAATTAGATGATTTTAAAAGCATTTATGGTGCTATGACTTTGGAGCGACTAATGAATGTTGTAAGATAATATTAGATTTTTTTTAGCTTATAATTTTGTAATTGCTAATACCTTATTTAAGAAAAGAGATTATCATCTCATCACTTATATGAGAATAAATATAGTAAAACTCAGATTGATTATTTTCTTATAAGAAAAATAAATTGTTTATATTGTAAAGACTGTAAAATAATTCCGAGTAAAAGTTTATGTACCAAACATCGCTTATTAGTTTTGGACTTTAAGATGAAGAGGCAGAAAATAAAAAATAAAGTAAATCGTTGTTATAGGATTAGATAGGAGCATTTAAAGAATATTTAATAAAATTATTTTTTAGAATAAGATTCTAGATCTTAAGATTTTATTTGTGCATAAAGAATTTAATGTTATGTGGGAAAAAATAGTTAGTGATATTAAGAATGTTGCAAATGACGTGTTTGAAATATTAAAGGGAAAATATACTAATAGTAAAAATAGTTGGTGGTGAAATTAAAATGTACAAGAAAAGATAAAAAATATAAAGATTTGTTTTAAAAATTGGTTTAGCTGTAAAAATTCTAATAATTGAAAATTATATAAAGAGGTCCGTAAGGAGTTTAATAAAATAATATGTGATACAAAGATTTATCTTTTAATGATTTATATAATAGATTAGATAATAAGGAGGACGACAAATAAATGTATAAGTTAGTTAAACAAAGAGATTGGAGTATTAATGATTTAGTTCAAGTGCTGTGTATTAAGGATGAAGATCAAAAAGTATTTTTATTAGAAGAGGATATTCAATAAAGGTGGATGAGATATTTTGCTAAATTTTTAAATGAAGATTGTGAGAATACGTTTGACTTTAGTGATCCTAAATGAAAATAAAGATTTTTTTTGTTTTTATCGGCGTATTAGTAAGACCAAAGTTAAAGAGGCTTTAAAGTAAATGAAGTCTAGAAAAACTGTTGGACCTGATGATATTCCAATGGAGATGTGGAAATCGATTCAATTGTCGAGCCATCTTCAATATTCGGCTCAAGTTCATATCGCCATTTTTATGTAGGTTATAAAGTTCCTTGTTCTTTCCTTACAGCTAGCAATCACCTCACAGGAGCGTCTATCCAAGCTGAATAGCTTTTGCAGTAGCTCAGAGTAGTAGCGATAGGCCACTTCTCTATTGTACATTGGAGCACTAATTGGATTTGGTTAAGACACTGAATTGGCCATGATGCCATCTGTTGCTTCTGAACTGTTCAAATTGAAGAATTTCATTGTAGGACTTCCTAACTCTTATAAATGCTGCAAGCTTTCTAATAAGCTCAGACCCTATAGCCAGCCTCATCTCTATATATGCTTGAATTAGAACCAGACTTACAAATACCATTACATGGGTGGTGAAACTAGTAGGTGTAAAGTTTACTTGCTAGGATGGAACAACTAAGTATAAGCTACTGGCAAAGTTAACAAGCTTGATAAAGAAACTTGCAAGGTGTAAGCAAGCAATGTGAAGAACAATACTAGTAACGAACAAGTAAAAAAAAAATGATGGTTACAATACTATTCTAAGAGTGAGAGCAAAATAAATTCAAGTACAACTATGTTGTTTAACCTACACAGTAGTACTTAAGCAATTATTCTAATCACCACACACATATTACATGCAAGCATTCAAGGAACTGCATAACTAAATGTGCAAGGCAAAGTAAACTAGTTATAGAGAGATTTGTGATAGGAAATACTTGAGTTTGCAAGTAACCCTAAGGGAAATATTTGAGTTCGCAAGCAAACTTATCACTAATTGGTGAAAACAGCGAGACTGATGCAAAAATCTAGATGAAATCAGTCCCAAAATGATGGATTGCAATAAAGGAATCAAAGTCAAACAAACACAAAGCAAGATATAAGCGATCCTCAATTCGAGAGGAGGATCGTTCTCTCCCAATCTCTAGACAAAGAATCTAGAGCCCAAGATCCCACGGAAGTACAAGAGAAAACAAATCAAAGCATAAAATCTAACCCTAGCTTCTCATGCTTTTAAATACCCTCCCTCCTAATAAAAGCTTCCTAATATAAAACAAATTCAAATTGACCTCCCCATTCTTATACCGCCCTCTCTCTCTCTCTCTATCTCTCTAATTGCCGCCTAAAGAGGGGGGGGGGGGGCGCGTTCCACTTGCTTAGGCTATGGGAACCAAAGGAGGCGGCCTATAGGTCTGAATTGGTCCCACCTGGGCTAGTTTGAGCTGAATCCTAACAATTTGACACAGATATTTATATGATTTGGCCTCCAACTCTTGTCCATGCCTGGCTAACATCAAAAGGCCATGAATGAGGCACTACCACCTATCCTAAAATCATAATATGACAGTGAAGACACACACCCAATTTTTATCAATTATATATGAAACACAACCCCTATGATTGGAATATGACTTGGCGGCATCTCTGAGCTCAGCCAAGGGCTACTTCATTGTATGACCTGCCATGGTGGCTCACTAGTTCATGCGAGCACCGCTCCGCATAGCCTGGGACGTGCTGAATTGCAAAGTTGCTGTTTGCTTCTCCCTTTCTTCCGTAATAGTATGTGGATTTTGTATAACTATGGTGATCTTGAGCTGGTTATAGTTTACTACACTGAGGTTGTCCATGCCACCATTTTCAGATAAGCTCACACATGAACTCCAAATCATGAGGAGTTCATTCTTTGGGTCTGTTCATGAAGTCTCACATGAAGCAAAATCAATGGCTATTATCAAGCAGATATAAGCATGGTATCATCACAAGCTATTTGATTTGTCTCATAAATGCTCAGGTTGCTTGTGAGAAAGTTATCTTACGTGTTCTGAGTAGATTTGCTAGCTTCTGAAACTCTATTTGCTATTGTAAATTCCTTCATAAATATTCCTAGGAACCTGGAAGCTAGCTAAACTGAATTTTTCATAATTGTTAATTGCAGAAGACATTATCTTCCCTATTTTTTATTTAACTAAAGCTTCTATCAGTAAAGATTCAGATTCTTGCTTCTTAGCTCTGATAAGTGATAACTACTCTTTTATCTTCAAGAAATTATTCTGTGCAGAGTCCAGACAAAAAGGTTCCGTCCGGACTGTGAATGTACACAGTGTATATAAATATTGTGTACATTCACAATCCGAATGAAAAATACTCATTCGGATTCTGCACAGAATAATTTCTCTTCATCTACATATCCTTCAGCTCTGAACTTCCTCTATATCATGCTCTTATTAGCTTGTTTACCTTAAATCCTGTCTTTTCAGTAATGTCTCCCTGCTTCCCATTCTTGAAAGGCAAGCCTTCTTATTCCTTTCTGTTTTCCTCCAAGCCTCAAATATGTCATCTAATCCTCAGCATTTTACTTTTTACATTTCTACCACACTTTCTCTCTATATATCTCTCTCTATATATTTTTTGAAGCAGTAAGGTAAATCATGAATTGACAGGGAGTATATAGAAAAGAAACGAAATGAGCACTAACTTTTTTTTGGTTTACACATGCTAACTTTCTTTTTTCTGAAATTGCACATGACACCTTTTTAGCCATGGGTGGTCACTGTGGTAGAAGATATTTTTTTTGATGGTTTATTTTATTATTTCTTTATTAAATATTATTCTGATCTTAACTCAACACTCTAGTTAATCTAACAATCATGGTCAAGCTTTCCCCCAATTGACTTTTTTTTATGTGCTAATAATAATTATATAATATAAGTTTCACATGGCATGGGCCCCACTTGTGTTAAAATAAATTTATTATAGCAATTTTGAAAAATATTCTCAATTATTAAAATAAAAAATATTATAATGCTGAAGAAAAAATGCAATAAATTTTTTATATAAAAAATTATTTATATTGATGTGAAATTATTATTTTTATAATAAGAAAATAAGATTTTTAATGTGAAAAATAATTTTTTTTTTTATAATTTTGGAATTTATAATATATTCTAAAAAACTTGACATTCCAACCTTGGTTATTCATTGACCCAAGTTAAGATATGCTTTAGAAAATAAATTATGAAAGGGGTGAAAGACCATTTTTGCCCTTCTTCCTCTCTTGCTCTGCTCTCAATTTTGATGGGGTTTGCAGGTTTGATTTGGTCTAAAAAGGTCTTTTCAAAAAAAAAAAATTCTTTTTATTTGATCTACTTTTTTCTAAGGTTTGGTGAAAAAGAAAAAAACATAAATTTTTTTTTCTGAGATGGAGAATTTCTGATCGGAGCCCGCAACCCGAAATTGATCAGCAGGCGTGGAGTTTCTGCAGAGGGGTAATTCTTCTTACTGTTCCAATTTCGTCGAGCTTTTCGCCGAATCTATTTTCACCGTCATGGCCGGAAATCGACCACTTAGGGTTTCGAGGTATTTGATTGTGATAGCTGCTCATTGGTCTTCGAAGGAACTACATGATTGTTTTCTGTTCTTATTTTCCATGAATTTTGGATTTTTCTGTGTCGTGTCGGCCTGTTTTCGTTGGTGCTACTGTGGTCTTCGGCCATGAGCATTTACAAGCAGTGAAGCTTATGGTTCAGATTTGGGCTTTTTTAGTTCTGTTATCGTTCTGATGCTCGAAATACTGTCATTTTGAGCTACTGTACTTTTTTCGTTGCGTGCTTGATCCATAATAAGCTCCTTCATTTTGCGCGCCTTTTTTTGGATCAATTGTATTTTGATGCACTTTTCGTTTTCTGATCTCCTTGAGAGTTAGGAACGCTATTTTGTTGCTACGAAGTCTGATTTGGTTTCTTTTTTTCCTGTTTGAATCAACTAGGGGTGACTAGTTTGCAGAGCTCAGGAGTTTGAATTTAGTTCCAGTTGGTTTGGTTTGTTGAACTGGGCAATGGATTGCAATAAAGATGAGGCCTTGCGGATTAAAGAGCTCGCTGAAAAGAAGTTTATTGAAAAGGACTATGCGGGTGCCAAGAAGTTTGTGCTGAATGCCCAGAATCTCTTTCCATCTCTTGAAGGAATCAGCCAAATGATAACTATATTGGATATTTATCTTGCATCAGAAGCTAAAGTAAATGGGGAGAAGGATTGGTATGGAGTCCTCCGTGTTAATGCTTCAGCAGATGAAGAGACAGTGAAGAATCATTACAGGAAGCTTGCTCATATGCTTCATCCAGATAAGAACAAATCTACAGGTGCTGAGGGTGCTTTCCAGCTTGTTTCCGAGGCTTGGAGTGTGCTTTCAGATAAGAATCAGAAGATGTTGTATGACCAGAAGATATCTGGGAAAGGTTCTCATCAGAGAACTTCTCAACCCATTAAAGATTCCGCAGCTCCTGGTGTCGATAGCAATGGATTTTACCAGTTCGCAAACAGTGCTGCAACCAAGACGAAAACACAAGAGAGAAACTCTTACAAGACTCCATCGTCCCTGCCACCGCAGACATTCTGGACCTCTTGTGCTGCATGCTGCATGCAATACGAATATCACAGGATGTATCTTAACAAAAGCCTTCTATGCCCCAAATGCAAGCAGCCATTTTTAGCCACAGAATTGCCTGCTCCTCCTAGTGGACTCAGTAATCCTCTATGGCCCTCTAAACAGCAGAATCAGAAAACTAAATATAAGAGTGCATATAAGAATGCCTCTACTATTGGAATGGGAGCATCAGGATTCCAGCATGGGCTGAGCAATGAATCTTTTACCAATCAAAACATCCAGTGGGCACCATTTTCTGGAGCTGGTACTAATGGCCTGTCTACTAATATTACACAGGCTGCTAATGTGGTTCATCAAGCACACAAAGCAAAAAAGCAGCGAGAAGAAGCACTAACAACAGTTAAAAGGGAAGAGGCTCTCCGCAGAAAGTTAGCACGGAAGACTTCAAATTCTGGAAATCTTAATACTATAATTGTTTCTGATAATTATGCAGTTAGAAGAACAGGCACTGGAGTTGATTTGGGAAACAATATTATTGCAGATCAGGTGGCCTCATATAGCAATACTGTTCCTGATGCAGAAAAGGGCACTTGGGTTTATGGTGATTCCTTTAAATCTAGATTAAGTTCAAGACCAACAAACTTTAACAGAGCTTATGCCCAGGTAGATGTCCGAGCTATATTAGTAGATAAGGCTAAGGATAGAATACTGAAGAAACTTAGAGAATTGTATTTAGCTGAAGCTTCAAAGGCCAAGGATAATGATATGATGAAGAAGCTAAAGATCAAAGATGTTAAGGTGACCAAGGTAATTGACAGAAAAAATGTGAAGTGTAGAGTTCAGGGAGATTCTGCTGATATGCAAATTATTGAACGCTCAAGGAGTAACAAGTTTATACCTGTCAAGGAGATTTGCCAAAAGAATGGTAACGATGATTCACGCAAGCACGTAAATCACCATCTGACAATTGATGTTCCTGATCCAGATTTTCATGATTTTGATAGCGATCGCACTGAAAAGGCTTTTGGAGCTGATCAGGTATGGGCTACATATGATGATGACGATGGTATGCCTCGGTATTATGCCTTTATTCAGAAAGTTCTATCTGCTAAACCTTTCATGGTCCGTATGAGCTTTCTCACTTCAAAATCCAATGTAGAGTTTGGGGCATTAGATTGGGTGAGTAGTGGTTTTCCCAAAACATGTGGAGATTTTAGAGTGGGGAGATACGTAGTTGCCACAAGGATTAATATTTTTTCACACAGGGTTAAGTGGGAAAAAGGCTTCCGGGGAGTAATTAAAGTTCTTCCAAGAAAAGGTGATATTTGGGCCTTATACCGAAATTGGAGTCCTCACTGGAATGAGCTTACTCCTGATAATGTGATCCACAAGTATGAAATGGTGGAGGTACTGGAAGATTATAATGAAGGTCAAGGAATCTCAGTGGTTCCCTTAGTGAAGGTTGCTGGATTTAAAACTGTTTTCCTACGGCACATGGATCCAAAAGAGTATAAGAAGATAAGAAAAGAAGAAATGTTTCGGTTTTCACATCAGGTACCTTCTTATTTGCTCACAGGTGGAGAAGCTCATAATGCTCCGAAAGATTGCCTTGAGCTAGACCCAGCAGCAACTTCTTTGGAGCTTCTTCAGGTTCTCACAGAAACAAAGGATGAGGATGTAATGAATGATGACGCGAGCAAGTTCGTCGATAATGGAGCGCCTTGGTCCAATTTTTGTTCCAGTGTCTGTGATTGATGCTTAGTATTCATCAATGCGAAGGGATTTGCCAACCTATACTCCTATTCAGCTTTTTGGGATATCTCAAAGATGACGATTTTGGATATGGCTTGTTCCAGAATCATTTATCAATATCTTCATTAGGTGTCTAACTTGAATTTAATTAGCTGTACAAAGTTGTTTAGGAGTAGAAGGTGTCTGCAGTCAGCTTGTTGAGATCATTCATTCAAATGATGGAGTTCTGGTGACCCCCTCAGGAAGTGGAGCTTCCACTGATCGTAGGTAAGTGTTATAATCACATAGTGATATGATTGATTGACCAACATAGACCATTCTCATAATCAACAAAAAATTGTTACCGCTTCTTTATAATGCACTTCATTCTTGTGGAAGGTTTTCAGTTCCAGCAGTTGTGAAAAGCTATTATTTTTAATAACAAAATCCAAGAATACACTGCATATAGTATATAAATTGAAAAGCGCTTTTTTCTCTTGCTTCATCATGTTTATGCATGCAAATATATGATAGATATGTCTATATGTGCTAATTGACAAACCGGTTCTCTTGGAACAATGTGAAGTCGTGTGCACATCTTAAAATTCTTTGAACCTGGAAGTTGTTTAATTGATATTTGTTGTAACATCTTACCGGTACTTCAACATTTCTCCATGACTTGGAGAAGGAGATCTTCCTTATAAGCACTTTTTTATTTTACTTTTACCTATCTGTACTTCCAAAACATTTTAATTTCCTTGAATGACTTTTCCTTACATTCAGTAGTGGAATTTATTCAACCTTAATTTTTTCTTTCACTGTGAGAAAATTAATACTCAACGTTTCACTGATGTTTCATATGTTCTTGCTGCTATTGGTCTGTTCTTTAGGTCATGTGAGATTCTTTGCATTATTATTCATTCTGTTCTTTGAATCCAGAGAGATTCTGTGTATTATTGTTCAGTTATGACTCAAGTAATGCTATGTTTTTTGTAGTGTAGAGTTCCTTTCAGTTTTTCCTTGTGGTTTTTCATAATAATTATCATTTGCATTCAACTATATCTCAGTTCTAGAGCGTCAATGGAATATGTGCAAGTGATATTAACCTGATAAATCTGCTACAGTATTTTCTGATCTATTTCAAGTGAAAGAACCAGGCTTTTTACTCCAATATTTAATACTCATGTGAAATTATAATTCCAATATGTTGTCTTGTACGTATTTTAATATGATTAAGAGGTATGCTAGACTTCTTGTGTTATTTTGCAGCTACCATGTATACAACTCAGGCTTCTTTTGGGACAGCTTTTTTGCTGCGTTCCAAAATAGCTTTTTAGTTAGAAAATTTTGTACTAGAAAGTTATTTTAAAAAGAAATAAAAAAAGATGTCCCAAATGAAGCCTTAACCAAACTGTCAGCTGCTTTTGAACTGAATAAAATGAAACGCCTATTTCTCATGCACATTGTTATTAGCAAATGTAGTGCTGTGCTTCAAATGATATCATTCTGATCAATGAATAAATGGTGAACTGACTTATGGGGCGGGCTAAACACACCATGCATGATTTATCAAGTATTTAAATTTTCTTTAGACTTCCATCATACTTTAGAAGGCTGAGTTTTTTTTCTTAATAATCGATAATGTGAAAATTATGCATGAAAAAATCTCTCTCAATACTGACTTTGGGATATAGCTAAATAGCAAAGCCATGTTGCTTAAAATTTATCTATTACTTAAAGGTATGTCTAAGAGAAACCTTATGTGGTTAATGATTGTCAAGTAGTTGATTCAATGCAGTAATTGAAGCCATGTTCATTTGTAGTTTTGTTGTTTGACAGTTTGAATATCTTAAGGCTGATGGAAATCAAAGGAGTTTTAGCTTGGAAACATATTTGAATATATTTTTATGTTTTTATGTCCACGCTTTTTGTAAGCGATTTTCATTACTTTAAAGCTCAAATTTGCTTTCCTTCAAAACATTGGAGAATAAATATGCTATTTCAGCATAAAAAGTTCATATATGATAAACCAATGCAAGGTTAATGATATAAACAGTTATGCATTCTAATAGTTCATCCTAAGATTATTAGCTTAAAAAAGAACGCTTAGTTGCATTTATGTCATGTTCTTTTTTTTGGTGGGACAATGAAGTGTGCTGCGAGTTCAATGGCTTCCTTTGGTACTTCCGTGCTGCTATTGTGCTGCGAAGTTTTAATAAAATGAAGTCATGAGTTATCTCACAAAGATTAATGAGCTATTTTGTAAGTTGATTACCCTTAGTAACGAGTATTAGTATGAAGTGTAGCCTACTATTTAGCTTTTTGTTGCATGTCATACAGATTTTTCAAAAGCAACAAAGAAGCAAAGAGCATAGAAAAATACCGCTCAAATTTAAGGGAAAATTTTATAAGATGATGATTAGACCTGCAATATTTTATGGCGCAGAATGTTGGCCATTAAAGGAGAAGCATAATATTAAGTGTTGCAGAGATTGAGGATGCTCAGGTGGATGAGTGGCTTTACTCTTAGAGACAGAATACAAAATGAGCATATATGTGAAAAGGTTGGAGTAGCTCCAGTTGCAGATAAGATTAGGAGAGTCGTATTAGATGGTTTGGTCACATAAAATGGTAGCCTTTCAATGACCAAGTTAGGAGAGTAGATAAATTAGATTTAATTTATTTTAAGAAAGGTAGAGGTAGACCTAAAAAGATGTGGTTAGAAAATATTAGAAATAACCATTCTTTATTAGATCTAAATGAGAAATTGACTCTTAACCAGACACAATGGAGAAAAAAGATTCATGTAGCCGACCTTGGGGTAAACGCTTGTTGTCGTTGTCGTCGTTGTCGTAATAAGCAGAGAAGAGCATTGACAAGCAGAAATGAATTTTTCCCCGGAACGGTTATAACCAACCACCCTTTTCCTGTTTTCCTGATTTTTATCACAAACGAATAAACATCTATTACCCTTTTTTACACCATTATCAGTGGTCATTTTCTTACCATAATGATCATACTGGAAAATCCAAGTTTTAATAAACCGTCCTTTACATTGGTCTCTTTAATCAATTTTAAATTACAACATGCATGTGGAATTATTATGCTCTGTTTGCTCTTTGGTTTAAGTGCACTTTTTGATGGTCATCATAGCTGAAACAAAAGTGGGATATTACTTGGTGATTATTTTGTCACCTTTCCATGGCATGCGCATTATTAACCTTCTATGAATATTTTTGTGCATCAATACCTAATGATGTTACGTGAATACTTGTCCTACCCCCAGTGGTTCTGCATAATATGTGTGTATCTAATTATCTATATGAAACATTCCTAGTTGCATTCATTTATCTGCCAGGGAAAGCCGATTTGATTTGTCATCCGTTTTGACTGAAGAGAAATTGGGGAGAGCTACCTTCCAATTCTGACTTACATGAGCCTTTAAAAACATAGGCATTGTACCTATTAGAATAAAATAATTTACATCTATGAGTATCAGAGTTATTGTATTAAATGTGGCTATTCAATTAGATACTACGACACAATTAATTTTTCTCCTCTGGGATTTTAACGAACATCTTAAATCTCTACTCTATTAGTTATGTTTTACAATTTCTATGTAGTTCAAATTGTATATTTCCCTACACCATTTATCACCAGATCTAGCATATTGGGCCAAGCCAATGCAATGTTTTCATTAATAATTGTGTTCTAATCTACACAACTAGATTAAGACTCGATATTGGGAAAAACTATTCTGTGCGGACACTAAATGCCGTACGGAGACCAATAAAAATGCACCACGTCACCCTTTTACTATACCGCGGCTCGGTACCGCTCAATACCGCGGCATCCGACGTAGAGCTGCGTCTAGCGTCCGCACATAATTATTTCTCTAATATTAGATGGACAGCGTCAACTGCTGTAGTGGAATAGGACCAAAATTCTCCAGATAACTGCATCAGTCTCCATTTTCAAGCGGAATGTGATATTTCTTAATAGTCACGAATATGTTATGAACTTTTTATGAATGAAAGCAATATTGATATTAACTGTATCAGTTAATCGTTGGACTTAGAGATGGTGAATGATGGGCATCTGTTTCTAAATGTTTTTTTATTTCTTTAGGATTGCCGTATTCTTCTTACTTGAAGGTATCTGTTGAGATTATGACCTGAACTTTCATCAAAATAAACTGTTGTTCTTGTATGATAAATTATCATAGTGGTTCAGTTCATTGATACATCTTTGTGCATATATCTTACTTGAAAGAGAAACGAAGCAATAGGTGGCTGTGCTGTATGTGATTCTATCAATAACACATTAATATTGTGAGGAATAATTCAAATACTTTGTCTAGTAGACATCCCTAGGCTACACTAGTAAGGAAATTATTATTTTGTATTAACTTCAGGGGTAATTCAGTGTAGAAGTCATCTTTTAGTTTCCGGATATAGTTTGAAGTGAAATCCTATTTTATTAAGAAAATGATCAAAATAGTCCCTTGACTCTTTATAAAAGATCAAAATAGTTCCCAACTGTATTTTAAAGACCATTTTGGTCCCTCGTTTTATTAAAGAGGAATCAAAAGTCTATTTGATTTCTTTTTAAAGACTCGAGGGATCAAAATGGTTCTTTAATATAGTTGAAGATCATTTTGATTCTTTTTAAAGAAACCAGTATCATTTTAATTATTTTCTTGAGCTTGTTTTGCTAGACTTTCTGTGTTTGTTCTTATTGTTTACTATATGAACTGGATCAAATGCATCACATTTGCTACTAAATATTTCCTGCTAATCTCATTTGATATGAAATTTGACTCTGCTTCTGATTATTTGTCCCTCTCATTGCAGCTTTTAGTTGAATTGAAGAAGCTTCTATCATCCTCCACCACTTGCTTTTTCTTTTTTTCTCTCACTTGGAAGCAGGCAAAAGCTGCTGAACTAAGGATCATTGAATTGCTTGATCATAGGCTGACTGATCATCAACCAAGAAGGAGGAAGGCAAAAGGAATCATATACCTCTTACTACTGCTCTATTGTAGAAATCCTTTATTTTTCATATTCATTTGCTTCATTTTCTCTCTATAATATAGTCCTCTTAAACAGAATGGATGAACTCTTTAAATTTTTTTCAGGGATTTGTTTGGTTAACCTGATGAATATTGTGCTACCAACTTCTCCTATGGAGACAAATATGCTGTTGGTCAAATCTTTGGGAAAGAAGATAAAAAAATTAATTAAAATACCCTTTTTTCCCTCTTGATTTTCAATTTTTATCTGGATTTTGTGTAGATAATTGATCTGATTTCTTCTGATTTTATGTATGATTTATGACAGTTCATCTGCCACTTTTACAAGCTCACCTGTCTTAGTTGCTCTATTGAGGTAAGCAATATTTAGATTATTTTGTTGGCTTTCTGAGAAAAATAAGCTAATTTTAGGCTTGATTTTGCAATGTTAGCTTTGGTCTCTCTCTCTCTCTCTGTTGATTTTTTCTCTTTTAGCTGCTTTGGTATTTCTCTTTTCAAATATTGATTATGTTGAAAGAATATTGTTTTTTGTATGTTATTGGCTTATAAGAGATTATAAATAGATATAAAATAAGGTATAATAAATAAATAAATATGCATAAATAGTACTCAATCATGAGGATAATATCCTATTGTTAAGAGAGAGATTTTAGAAAAAATACTACTAATACACTAATATTCTCATAATGATTTTTTCTTAAATGAAAATTGTAGCAAAATATTTTTGTATTAAATTTTTTTATGTTAGAATGAGAAGATAGATGATCAAAATTTATTGGGAAATGCTTACAATTTAATTATTTTAATAGAAATAAGGAAGGTATTTGCCGTTAAATAAATTATCAATGTTTTATTTTGATATATATATATATATATTAAAGCAGTTAGATTTAAATTTTATTAAATTTTCCCTGGTCCATGAAATTTTGGGAAAATGATTTATTTACTAGTTAAGGTGTCATTTTAAAATTATAGCATTTAATGTATTCAATTAAATATTTTAATTTTATAAAATAGCCTCTTAATTTTTCAAATTTAGTTTAAAAGTATTCAATAGCTGAATTATATTTTTAGTTTGAGATTTAGAGAACATCAAATTTTTCTCATGAAATAATGAAATAATTTATTTCATAAAGCCATCTACACATTGATTCACTTAGTATAATTACAAAATAGAACATTTTTAAAAAATTATTATCAATATTATAGCTTAAAAAAAAAAATAAGCCACCCTTTTATCAACTACTATGCTTTAACAAATATGATCATAAAATATAATATTTTATTTAAAAAATAATAATAATAACTGAGTAACAAATTAATGAAAAAAATTTATTGCAAATAGATTCTCATATGGAGCAACTTTTTTATAGCAAAATATAGGCTTCCAAGCATTTATATTAGCCATAAACTCCAGAGTACTTAGCTTTGGAAACTAATAATATTTCTATTAATAGTCACAATAACATTGAAGTGGCAAGAATTGCAAATATCTGAATATCAGAATTTTGAAATTAAATATATAAATAATTATATTACTCTCATTTTAAAATAAATTATTCAAGCTGCAAGCAATGCAGCTCAAGTTCTTCACAATATTCTGATTCAAATTTGACTACTCATTCTGATCAAATTTGATCAAGTTGCAATCAGGAATGATACATTAGAACATTAAATATTACAGCACACTAACCTGTATATGGCAGTCCAAAAGCATGTCTTACTATGAAAAATGAACATCCCACTTTGCTTGAATTCCTTCCGAAGCAAAAGCTGCTGATACCGTTTGAGACGGCTTTCTCATTGCTTTCTAAAATAACTTTTTAGTACAAAAAATTTCTGTACTACAAAACTGTTTTACGAAGAAGCAGTAAGAAAGCTGCCCCAAACGAGTCCAGTGGTGATCAAAGCATCAAACATCAGTTCCAAAGTATCGATCACCATACTCTCCCAAGCCAGGAATTACTCTGAACTCCTCATTCAGTCCAGCATCTATCTCTGAAGTGACTATCTTGAGGGAAGGAAATCGCTTACAAACACAATGGATTCCTTCGGGTGCCTGAAATGGTTAAATATATCAACTCCAAAATGATTTGATGGTGGAAAATAAGAGAGCAGTTTATAAATTAAGGGGCTAACCGATATCAAGTTGAGGAAAATAATGCGGTCCTCTGGTACTCCCTTCTGGATGAGTAGTTCTATTGCTTGGTTTGCAGAGTTTCCTTCAATAGAAAGTTTAAGATTTTACAAGGATAGGTCTTGTAAGATTTGTGAGTTGGGATCCAATATTGTACAATTCATATAGTAGATAAAAGTGCTACAGAAAAAACTTTGAAATTTGTCTATATGTAATCTTGTGATATAGAAAACCATGACAATTTGTAAGCAATGCATGGAAGATGGTCTATCACCAGAAGTTTGAAGTATCTGTGGGGGTTTAATCAACCACTAGAATTGATAATTAAGTTATGAAGCTTAAATTTTGCCTGTTGAAGAAAAACGTGCTACATAGACTTAGGACATCTCCAACCAAAAATCTCATTTTTCACTCCAAAATGCAGTGCAACAAAAAAATGGTGCGATTCATCTCCAATCGAACTCCATTTTGCGCCAAGATAACCGTCTTTCTCATTCGCATGTTTCTTCGACAAATCTGTTAGAGGCAGAAAAATAACGCAGGTGAACAGTGCAATACTAATATTAACGCCGCCCTGTTCATCCGCAATACCGGAAGTTTTGTCGTTTGGCTGGAGCTCGCGAGCGACGTCATTCATGCGTTTGGAGTTTGGTTGGAGAAGGCCTTAGGTTTCGTTTGGGATGACTTTCTTACTGCTTCTTAAAGTAGTTTTTTAGTACAAAAGTTAAAATTTTTGTACCAGAAAACTACTTTAAGAAGCAGTAAGAAAGCCGCCTCAAATGAAGCTTTAGTTATGACTAAGCATCATGTTAAGGTCACCATGGGGGCTAGAAGAAAATTTTGCCAAAAAGTAGTAATGGAGCCAAATATATCCACCTCTACATTTATTTATTTATCATGTTACAGCCAAAGTTCACAACGCATTCAAGTGTCACAATAATTTTGATTTATGAATCACTTAGATTCGGAAAATACACACAAATCTACAGTTTAAGGAAATTCTTATTTTTCTTCAGTGGGAGGGCATCCAGTAGATAAAAGCTTTGTAGATCGCTCAAATCTTCAACTAATAAATGCAAATGCATCGAAAGAAAATAATACCTGTACCAAGGACAGGATCAAGTAGTAAAACATGGCGTTCAGATATGTCATTGGGCAACTTCTGATAAATAAGCTGACGAGCAACAATCAAACAAATTCACATTAATGTACATGAACTTGAGCATAAAAATAAGCTAATTGGTTTATAATACTTACCTGCTTTCCATTATCACCATCACGATGAATAAGGATCTTCCCAATTTTTATTCCTTTACAACAAGCTCGCAAGGCATTCTCCATGCTTTCACCACTGCAATCAATCCGATGTGAATAATGATATTCCTTATGACAAAGGTAAAATAATATTTCCTTGAACACAATATTAATGGAGATGAGATCTAATAATCTGCATATTTGGTCACATTTCACTAGGCCTTTAAAAAGAAATGTCAACAAGTCATGAAAATGAAGCGAGCCATGCCAGGTATGTGTAATTGCTCGACATATTCCCTACACAATTTGAGTACCTTGTCAGTCGATTGGATCGGCTTCCGAGACTGTACTTGAGAGGAACTTTATGAAGTGACTGAAACCAAAGATCCGTGCAACTGTCAGAGTAATGAGACCTAGAGACTTGGGAGAATCTATGGAGCTAGCTCAGTTGGTGCAAGATCAGAAGCACCTGGAAAAAAGGAGTAGGAGATAGTAGTTTAGGAGGCTCGTAAGGATGACCATCACCTTTTTGGCAAGCAAGGAGCCAACACCGGGTACTCTTAGGGAGACTTCGAAAGAGAATACTGCCGAAAAAGACCTGGGGACAACTTCAAGAAGCTCATAGAAAAAGAATTACAGGAGAAGAGGGTGAAGGGGATCTATTTCACATGTGACGAGAGGTATAAACCAGGGCACAGGTATAAGGACCGAACTCTTCAGGTTCTTACTGTTTGTGATGAATAAGGAATGGATGAGGATGTCGTATTTCCACTTTGCGGACAAGATGGATGTTTGGGAGGGGAGTATTGTTAGACCGGTCCAACCAGTCTAAAGGGACTGGCTTATGAGAACAGAGGTGGACTTTTCCGCCTCCTGTACGTGCCGAACGCACGCACGGCTTGCGCGAGCTGTTTAGGAAAGATTTTTGAGGGAGCTAGGACATAAATTTGAATGTAGGAACTGTTTAGGGATTTCCTTTAGATTTGTATGCATCAAATAGTTTATTTTCCTAGGGTAAGGGCATCAAAAATTTGGCTGAAATTTGAGATCTCTTAGGCTTAGATTTTTCTTGGGCTGTACTGGCGTCTAGAGATTTGGGAGAGATAGATTCTCCTATCAAATAGAGGATCAATTGTATCTTGGTATTTTACATTTCCTTTTATCAAAAACTGCAAATTATCTATTGTTTTCGTGGTTTTGTGTGAATTTTTGTGGAGTACTCTCGTTGTTTTTCGAAGATTGATAGGAAATACTTGAGATCGACAAGTGTTTCCACCCTGAGGACAAGGCGGATATTTGGGAGGGAAGTATTGTTAGACTGGTCCATTGGATCGGTCCAGCCGGTCCGACGAGACCAGCTTACACGAACAGAGCTGGACTTTTCCGCCTCCTATACTGGCCAAAAGCACACACGGCATGCGTGAACTGTTTAGGAAGGATTTTTGAGGGAGTTAGGAGGGAAATTTGAATGTAGGGATTGCTTAAGGATTTTCTTTTGATTTGTATGCATTAAATAGTTTGTTTTCCTCGAGTTAGGGCATCGAGAATTTGGTTGAAATTTGAGATCTCTTAGGCTTAGATTTTTTTTGGGCTCTAGCGAAGTCTAGAGATTTGGGAGAGATAGTTCCTCCTCTCGAATAGAGGATCAATTGTATCTTGGCATTTTCTGTTTCCTTTTATCAAATAATACAAATTTTCTACTGTTTTCATGATTTTGTGTGGACTTTTTTGTGGAGAACTCTCGCTGTTTTTCGAAGATTATTAGGAAATACTTGGGATCTGTAAGTGTTTCCTATCAGCTTGCCAGCCAGTTAAACAACAAGGTGTTAAAAAAAAGATAGCCTTGAGAAGTTGGCAATTGCTAAACAGTTTAAGATAATTCCATGATTTTTATGGGTTTGGATGAATCAGAAAAAGAGTTTTCATTGAAAAAGAAAAAAAATGATAAACTAATTGATACCTGATTTGAGGCTCACCTTCGTATAATAGACACTCCACAAAGTTTCTTGCAGAAGTCAACTCCTGTATAGACTGATCCTGAAACAGAGGACAAGATGAAGACATTATTATGCATTCATGTCAACCGTAGCATTTTGCTTCCTTGTCAAAATTTATGAATTGAAAGGCAACAATTGATCTTAATGATGGTGTTTAAACAAGCTGAAATAACATGATCTAAACCTATGTACACCTTTATCCTTCCAAGAAAACTGCATATAGGTATAGTTAACAGGTAGACCATATTAACAAGTTCACAGTTTCCAACAAGGACTTCTGACCAACCACAAAAGCACTAACATACACCAATTAATAAGCTTCATGATTAACACAAGAATAACCAAATTTTATTAGCAAACTTATATAGTGATTAATATTGGCATAATAGGAAGGAGATATGTTATGGTTCATAAGTATAACAGTCCACTCTTAGATGCATCTTTCTAGAAGTTTCCATGAAAACCAGTGCCATTGAAGAAAGCATCTCTAGATCAGCCTAGCTACGAAATGATAAAGAGGATAAACAAAGACACTTAAAACCCTATAATATATGGCCCATGAAACAACACTTCAAGCTGCACATTAAGGCTTTATTTGGGGCGGCTTTTTTATTGCTCTTTAAAACAGATTTTTTAATAAAAAATTAAAATTTTTGTACTAAAAAACTGCTTTAAAAAGCTGCTTTAAGAAGCAGTAAAAAAGCCATCCCAAACAAAGCCTAAGTGTCTTACAAGTATGATAATCACATGTAGGACTAAGACAAAATTCATTCTTTGATGTACCTGTTGGAGTGACCACCTGTTTCTCGGTAAAAGGCAAATGACCAAGGCCATGCTCTACCACCTAACAAGAAAAAAGCTAACATTAACAATTAAAACGAACAAATTATTGCATTACATTTTGTATCATCTTTTCTTGTTATGAATATACAAAGTTGAGATGCATTTTACCAGCCGAATAAGTCGATCAGAATAAAAGACAAAGTCAGGTGTTGTAATATCCCTGTCACGAACAAGGGTGTGCATTCCTCTTATCTGTTATTAATCAAAATTATAAATTAATATCTGAACAATCCTGATTATCAACACAGAATTGAGAACCTGAAATTTATCAGGTGATAAAAGGTACACTGTACCTGAAATGTAGATTGAATAACAAATACATTAGGGTAGATTTTACACAAGTCATGTTGGCCAAGTTTTGTCTGAATATGTTGAACAATTAAATCAATCGCAACATGGTTGTCACCTCCTCTAGGAATGATTACATCAGCATATTTCTTTGAAGGCAAAACAAAATCATCAAAAGCAGGCTTGACAAATTTTCCATACTGCATAACAAAAAAATAAAAAATCAAATTAAAAAACCGCAAAGGGTAGCTCTTTTATCGTTGCTAGGACTTTGGAGAATGTGTAACTTTAAAACCAGCATGTATGGACGTCATGTTCAAGCAATACTTAAGATCAGTAATAACAGATAAGTTATTCATCAGTGCCTCCCTTAGAACAACAGCTATTAATTGAGGATAAGCTTTCTATTAAATGCAAAATGTTATAACTCACATGGCAATGTAAAATGTTCGTAGAGAAAACGATGCACATATTTAAACATTCCACTGCAAGGTAATTTGTTCTTAGAGAGAAGACAAATTATAGTGAATTTGCATATGCAAAACTTCAAAACGTTTTTTGCACACTACAAAAAAGAGAGTAAGTGCAAAGAATGTTAACAAGAAAGTGTGTTTGAGAATAAGGTTTCGTTTGTGACAGCTTTTTTACCGCTTCTTAAAGTAGCTTTTTAGTATAAAAAGTAAAGTTTTTGTATAGAAAGCTGCTTCAAGAAGCAGTAAAAAAACCATCCCAAATGAAACCTAACTGAAAATAAGCGCAACTCAATAAATTTAAGGAGAAAGTGTATCCTATTACTGAGGACAAAATTGATGTTACTATTTCAGTTCAGACCGGATAAGATTGAATAACAAATACATTAGGGTAGATTTTACACAAGTCATGTTGGCCAAGTTTTGTCTGAATATGTTGAACAATTAAATCAATCGCAACATGGTTGTCACCTCCTCTAGGAATGATTACATCAGCATATTTCTTTGAAGGCAAAACAAAATCATCAAAAGCAGGCTTGACAAATTTTCCATACTGCATAACAAAAAAAAAAAAAATCAAATTAAAAAACTGCAAAGGGTAGCTCTTTTATCGTTGCTAGGGCGTTGGAGAATGTGCAACTTCAAAACCAGCATGTATGCACGTCATGTTCAAGCAATACTTAAGATCAGCCATAACAGATAAGTTATTCATCAGTGCCTCCCTTATAACAAATTGAGGATAAGCTTTCTATTAAATGCAAAATGTCATAACTCACATGGAAATGTAAGAAGCTTGTAGAGAGAACGATGCACGTATTTAAACATTCCACTGCAAGGTAACTTGTTCTTACAGAGAAGACAATTATAGTGAATTTACATATGCAAAACTTGAGAAAGTTTGTTGCACACTACAAAAAGGAGAAAGTGCAAAGAATGTTAACAAAAAAGTGTGTGCTTGAGAATAACTGAAAAGAAGCGCAACTCAATAAATTTAAGGAGAAAGCGTATCCTATTATTGAGGACAAAATTGATGTTACTATTTCAGTTCAGACCGGATAATGTGATTCTTTCCATCGTATTCTTTCCATCCTAGTTGTACTGCAATGATAACTAAAACGTTCAATATTGGCCACGAGAAAAATCTTAGAAAAAACAAAGAGCAAACGTAGTAGACCTCTGTCACTCTAATAAGACAAATTGTAGTGACGAAGAAAAAGTTGAGAAAGTTTGTTGCGAACTACTAAAAGAAAGAAAGTGCAAGGAAGGTTAGTAGAAAGTGTATGTCTTGAGCAACTGAAAAGAATCACAATTCAAAAAATTTAAGAAAAAAAATGCACACTATTAGTAAGGACAACATTAAAATAATTAGTTTATTTCTGAACAAATAATGCAATTCTTTTCTTTGTAGTTGGATTGATAATTAAAATATTTAATATTAGTCAACAGAAAAGCCTAGTCAAAAAAAGCAAAGAACTAACTTAGCAGACCGCTATAACTCTAGAAGCCCGAAAATTTTTGGTGAAATCCAAAAATGCCTTAGCTCTAACAATCTTCTTTTTCCTGGTGTGCAATATGATATAAATATAATTTAATCTACAAAGGGGTAATAACGTGACAAGGACCTTGTTTAAAAATTACCATAAGAGAATACTAGTCATACTAGAAAGATAATTTTATCATGACATGAATTCTTTAATACATTTGTTAATGTTAGGGCATTTCATCAAATACACAATCCTGTTAAATAGGATTATCGCTCCACACACCTCCACTGAAAAACAATTTAGCTGATATCTTCTTTACCCAGGCTAATCTCTTCACTTTTTCAATCTTTGTAGCAAATTAGAAGTTATTGAAATATATGCTCTGAACTGAGGGATGGCAAGAGATAATTTTATTACTATGATATATATCCTCATAACTGATAATGTTCTCCCTCTTATTATCTTTAATTTTTCTTCAATCAATAAAGCATAACAAAAACTTTTCTCCCAAATAAAAATATTAACAAAAAAGTCAATGAAAAGTGAAGTTTATATGAAAATGCGAAAAGGAGCTAGGTAAATAGAATTTGACTACCACACGGTACATAAAAGTATGTGTTTCAAATTTTTTATCAACACAATGTCAGCAGACATCCTTCTTTTTCAATACTCTTAGCCAATAAAAATTTGCTTTCCCGTGCTTCTCAATCACACTTGTCATTCAAACCCTTCGCCCTGTTTTTTTTTTTATCATAAAGTTATACTAATCTTTTTTTTAATTCTTATTCCTCTTTTCTTTCGCTCTTTGTTTTCTTTTTTATCAAGCATTCTTTTCTTGCAAGATTTTTTTTCTACAAGCCAATCTTTACTCGTCTCTTTTTTTTTTTCACTTTTTAGCTGCATCCTTTATTGAATAGTGTCATTAATTATGTCACTCTATCATGTTGTAACTCTGTTGTCACCTTGTTAACCTTATACATAATGATTATGAATTTGTATTTACTATTTCATATTATTTTATTTGTCAAAATTCACATCTAAAAGAAATATTATTTATTAATAACTAAAATTTTATGAAACATAAAACTGCTAATGCAAGATTTTATAAACCTTCCATTTTCCAATCCCTTTTAAGCAGTCTACGCATACTGAGATGATCATGCAGATTTATAAATTAAAAGTTGTGCATTACCTTATTATGATTGCATTAATAATATTAGGACTATATGAAAGAAAAAAAAAGCACTTCAACTCTCAAGTGAGAAAATTTTAATACATAAGTTATGCATTACCTTATTAGGATTGAATTAATAATTTTTGGAACCAATTTTAAAAAATGAGCACTTTACCTCTTAACTGAGAAAATGATATATTGTTCTTTCCAACAAGTTAAAAAGAAAATGCATACCTGTTCGAGAACTGAGTTAACATCCCGACCTCTCTCAACTGTATCTCTTCTAATTCTTCTAGCAAGCCTAACATCAGCATCTATCAGTGAAACATTAGAAAAAGGGTAATGAGGGATCAATACAACACATATCAACATCACATGTAAGCAACTTTAAAAACTGAAGATTATTTAGCTTCCTAATACCCATGATGGTCTGAGTAAATAATAGCAACCAATAAATACTAAGCAAATCAGTAACAGAACTCAAGCTTATGGATTCAAGTGAATTCCTACAGATTTTCAATTGTAAAATGGCACATAAATAAGGTAAAACGTTAAATATATTGGAAGGGAAGCTCACTCACAAATATAGACATGCTCTATTGGGTAAAGAATGCAATATAGACAATAAAAACTAACCGGTATCAACAAATATCTTCATGTCCATTAGGTTTCGAACATGTGGATCATGGAAAACAAGAATCCCCTCCAAAATAATAACATCTGATGCATTCACCTAGCAACAATAACTTTGTTAAGCACATAAATCTACTTTCATCAAAAGATTAAAGAATAATAGCTGCGGGTAGGCACTTGCTATTGGTCAAACAATAAAGATCAACTAGTAAAAATTTTGGTAAAAATTTCTCACAATTTTGATAAGAGAAAGTAAGTATACATTATAACTATAAATGATACTCTAGACCTTAATGGCAAGTGGAAGACATTAAGGGTCCATTTGAGAAAACTTTTTCACTATATTTCTTTTCAAATTGCTATCACTTTTTTTGGCTACAGCTTTATTGCTGCTCTTCATAAATTTCTAAGGTGAAGAATAACTTTTATGACTAAATCTGCTAGAGCGCAACAAATATAAGAAAACTACTATCCTATTTCTTTCAAAGAAAAAAGTTCATAATATCCACAACAATTTACAAAAAGTTTACTTTTCTCACAATGATATAACAATTCTACCATTTTTTTATAAACAGCTGCATCTACCCCAAACAAACCCCTAAAAGAAAAGAAAGAAAAGCCTATTGAATAACATCAAGCATATCATACCATGGCTATAAGAAAATGCAGTTCTAGTAAGTTTCAACCAGATGGAGTATGAGTAAATCACAAAAACAACTAGAAAATAATAATGGTGTTACACATGTGAGAAAATTTCCATACAAAGAAATAACATTAGTAACCTACAAGAAGCTGCAAATAAGAACAGGATACAATGAATTTCACCAACATTTTAAACAAAATTGCCGCTTCATTTTGATCTCCCAGATATTCTCTTAACTTCATTAATTAAAATTTAGAACTTCAAGATTGTAAAGAAATTAGAAAAGAAGCCAATATACAGCACTTTCATTTTTTGGATAAAATGGAACATTGACAAATAAAACTGGTACTAGCTATTGCTAGAAACCAGACCAGAAAGTTTATGGGAGAAATTTAGAGACTCCGTTTGAATAGCAATTGAAAAGTATCCCCATATCAATGGCCGCTTTGAACACAAATTATGAATCAAATCATTAGAAGGCAATCCAGAATTTGAGTTCAGTTTAAGCATACCTTTCGGAAACTTTCACAGCAACGGCGATGGTTCTTGAAATCATATATGGGAATATTGACAGATTGTCCACTTTTCAGCTTGGTCAAGCACTCAATGAGTTGGTCAGTGTCAAAGGCATCTAAACAAACAAAAAATTTGTCACACAGAACCATATTAAAATATGTTTTAAATATAGAATAAAAAAATTTTCATCAATTTGTATGCCCTCCTAAAACACCCTGACACATAATTAAGTAATGAAAACAAAGGAGAAAACAAGTTAAAAAAAAAACTCAAAATAACAGAGTCGATGGCCACACTAGCATCAGTTGTGTTTTCACTGCATCTCTTTCTAGAAAACTATACTAAATAATGAAATGCCTTGATCAAATCCATCATGATTCAGATCAATCTAGCTACTCATCACCTTCCCTGAAAGCCGTCATCCACATCTCATATGTACGCTCACAAATCTCTTCACAAGCCTACAAGTGTTTTCTTCAATAACTCGCTCTTACTAGCTCGTTCATCTACTCACTTGCACTGAGACTCAAATTACTAGCACACTATATTTCTTGTGTGGCATTCCTCCGAGCAGAACCTCCACCGTCATTTCTCTTCCCAATTAAATGATACCACTACATCTTCCTTCCAATAAATTTTGTTAATGTCTCATCAACGCAATCAGAATATTGATCGCATATGCCTTACCAACTACAATTCTCATAGCTTCTCCATCCTACTTGTCAGTCCTACCTACCTACAAAGCTTCTTCTATGATCCCAACTCCTATAGCCCTCCCAATCCAAACAGAGGACTTAGTTAAACAGCTCTAAACTACACCAAGTTTTCACCTTCTCCAACTCATCCTCATCCTCAAATCTTATATCGAAAGGAAAAAGGAATTACAATAATTTTCTATAATATATTAAAATCATAAACTCTTATCTGAAGCTTTTTGCATTTCTAAATATGTAACCATGGCATCAACACCTAACATGTCAAAGATGCACAGCTTATATCTACGAGATATAATACAAACACAAAGATTTGCCTATGGAGTTATAAATTCTCAACATTCACATTGGAATTAATGTTATTATTATATGGGCATGTCAAGGTCATAAGCATTTATGTAAAGATGATTATTTTGGATAAAATTTAGATATGAAAATTATTAATTGGATAAAATACTTTCTAAAGATTCTAGATAATGAAGTTGATGAATCCTTCAATTACATCTATTGATCTTATGATATAATGCAAACGATCACCAAAGATCTCATCAAAATTAACAGTTTGCCATATAATCCAACTAATTTTGTAATTCCGATAAAAAAGGAGAGTATATTTAATGACTTATGTTAACTTGATGAGAAAATGAAAAAACAAATCACGATTTAGTTCACGCTACCAAGTTTCGCACATTCTACTAGCTCTAATAGTCCAATGAATCAAGTTGAGCTAAATATTATCTTGCTTAAGTTTGTGATAGATCACAAGCGCAGAAATTTAATAATTTGTTGGCTGAAAGTGAATTTCAGCAAGTGGAAATCTGATTTAGAGAAGAAGTCTCTTGGCAAACACTTAAAAAGCCTTAAAATTAATTAAATTTAGAAGAAAACAAACAAGATACAATGGATCTTCAATTCAAGAGGAACATCATTCATTCTCAATCCCTAATTGATGGCTAGAGCACAAGTAAACCAAAGAGAACTCACAAATTCAGCAAAACATAGATAACCCTAACCCTAGGGAAAATAATCTACTTAAAGCAAAACAACAAACATCGAAATCCCTAAACAGCCCTTTACTTTGAATTTTCTCTCATAAACTGCCTCCCCCCTACTTAAAAATCTTTAAATAGTGGGCCCCACAAGGGGGCGGGCTGCTTGTTGGCTCCGCCTTTCATAAACCATTTTATCAGAACCTCCTTGGCCCCTTCTTCTCCCTATCGAACCCCCTTAAACTCAAATGGTTCTAATACCACCTCCAAGTCCTTTGTCAGTGTCACAGATAACTCTGAACTAGCTGCATGATCCCCAATAGCTCTCCTTAGTTGTGACACGTGGAACACTAGATGTATAATCGTGGTCAAGGATGATTTCAAATGATAAGTCATTGCTCCATGCCTCTCCAATACCTCATATGGGCCAAATTACCTCGGGGCAAGCTTCTCATTCTTCCTGTTGGCAACTGTCCTCTATCTGTGGGGTTGTAGCTTTAAGAACACCCTTTCCCTACTTCGAACTGGATGCCCTTCCTGTATCCATCCGCCTACTTCTTCATAATCTGCTGTGCCCTCAACAGGTGCCTTTCTCAGTTCGTCCAACACTCTATTTCTTTCCTCCAAGTATTACTCAACTGAAGAGACTTGTGTACTCCTCTGCCCAAAATTGCACCAAGTGTGGAGGGTCTCTTCTGTACAATACTTTGAAAAGGGTCATCTGGGAAGTTGAATGATATAAACTGTTGTACCAGTACTCCGTCCGTGCTAGCCACTTGACCCACAACCAAGGTGTCTTTGAAGCAAAACATCGAAAGTAATTCTCCAAGCTCCTGTTTACCACCTTTGTTTGTCCGTCTATCTAAGGGTGGTAAGTGATACTTCTCTTTAAAATTATCCTCTGCAACCTGAACAGCTCTCTCATAACTGATTGAGGAACAGCTTATCCTAGTCAGAAACTATTGACTATGAAATCCCATGCAATCTAATCAACCTCTCTGATGAATGTTGCTGCTACTGTAACTGTCGTGTAGGTGTGTCTTAAGAAAATGAAATGAGCATACTTGCTCAATCTGTCAACCACCACTAGAATCACTATAAATCTCTCAAATCGGGGTAGTCCATTTATGAAATCCATGGTGACCTCCTCCCACACTCTGTCAGGAAGAGCCAGAGGTTGAAGTAACCCCCATGGAGCCATAGCCATGTACTTATTTCTCTGGCATATCTCACACCTAGCCACCATCTCCTCCACATCCCTATGCACCCCCTTCCAATACACTTCCACTGCCAATCATTTATATGCCTTTTGCACACCAGAATGTCCACCAACTACGCTCTCATGGAACTCCTACAGCAAGTGAGGAAAATGAACCAAGGTCTGTGGCATCATAAAACTTCCTTGGTATAGTAATCTCTCTCTATATAGAATAGCCAGAGTGGCTATTCTCATCCCTTAGCAGATTCATCCTGATTTTTCTCAGCTCCTCATTCTGCACACTCTCCTCTTTGATCATTACCCAATCTACCATAAATGGTATCAAAATGACCAACCCTTGGAGCTACCCCATGCATTTGGATAAGGCATCAGTCGCCTTATCTCTAATCCAAGCTTGTACTGGATTTCAAAGTCATAATCAAATAGCTTGGACAACCACCTCTGGTGCTCCTCGATCACCATCCTTTGTTCTAACAAGTACTTCAAACTCCTCTAGTCTGCCCTAAAAATAAAATGTCGGCATAGTAAGGCTGCCACTTCTGAATGGTTAATACGATGGCCACCAAGTCACTCTTATAAATTGACTTCCACCTAGCCCTAGATATTAATATTTGACTGAAGTAGTCAATGGATCAACAATTCTGCATAAGCACTACCCCCAATTCATACCCGGATGCATATGTCTCTACCACGAAAATCTAACTGAAATCAGTTAAGACCAGGATTGGTATCGTGGTCATGGCCTTCTTCAACCTCTCAAAAGCATGAGTAACTGCCTCCCCCTACAAGAAGTTGTCCTTCTTCAAGTGCTCTATCAGTGGCCCGGCTATGGTATTGTATCCTCTCACAAATCGCCTGTAGTGTCCCATCAAACCTAGGAAACCCCTCAACTCTCTCAAATTCCTAAGTAGAGGCTATTTTGGCATTTCCTTAGCCTTGGCCTGATCAGCAGCCACTATCTCATGGGATGTCACGTGCCCCAAGTACTACACACTGACCTATGCAAAACAATATTTCTTCAGGTTTGCCCTCAATGGGTGCTCCTGTAAGACTCCAAAGACCACCCTCAAGTGCTCCAAATGCTCCTCCTCGGACTTGTTGTACACTAGGACATCATCAAAGAAAACTAATACAAACTTCTAGAGGTATGGTCGAAATACTTTGTTCATCAGCGATTGGAAGTTAGCATGGGGCGTTTGTGAGGCCAAACGACATCACTAAGAACTCGTAATGCTCTTCATGCATCCTAAAAGTAATCTTCAAAACATTCTCCTTCCTCATCTTGATCTAATGGTATCCTAACTTCAGATCCATCTTGGTGAACACCACTGCTCCACATAGCACATCCAGTAGCTCATCAATCACCGGTATGAGAAACTTGTCTAGTACAATCTCTTTATTCAAGGCCCGATAATCAACAAATAATCTCTAACTCCCATCCTTTTTCTTAACCAACAATATTGGGCTAGAAAAAGGACTCACACTCGGCCTAATGATCCCCGCCTCAAAAATCTCTCGAATCAGCTTCTCAATCTCGTCCTTTTGAATTTGCGGGCAACAGTACAGTCAGACACTAATCGAAGACACCCCCTCCCTTAGGGTGATGGAGTGCTCCTGCTCCCTCGGTGGAGGTAAGCTTTGAGGTGGTTAAAAGACCTTTCTAAACTGTTGTATGAGTGATTGCACTGAAAGAGGAATGCTTCCCCCTTCCTCTAGTCTGATCCCTTCTAAGCTCTACAGTTCCCTAGAAATTCTCCTTTCACCTCCTGTATGGTCCTTACCATGATTTTGAGAGATACTATAGCTTTGGACAACCCTGCACCTCATCGAATCACCACCCTTCTTCCTTCCACCATCAACTCCATTACCAGTGCTCCCCAATTGACCTTGGTATCTCCCAAGGTCTACAGCCACTTCATCCCCAAGATGATAGCAGTGCTTCTTAACTCTAATGGGAGAAATTTCTCCCTCACCTAAACCCCCTGTATAGTCAGCATCACTCTCCTACACACTCCTCTACCTGTCTCCACCTTCCCACTACCCATCATTATCCCATAACACCTTGTGTCCACCAATTTCACCCCCAAGTTACCTATGACCTGATTGGAGATGAAATTGTGGGTAGCCCCACTGTTTATCGGTAACACCAACTTCCTATCTGCTACTTCACCCTACACTTTCATGGTGTGATATCTAGATGTAGCCCTTCCTCCTCTACCAATTCCCCCATGTCCTCTCCCTCCTCAGCTTCCTTGTCATCACAAACGGTGACAACCCGAAGAGTTTTATTCTTATACCTATACCCTGGGTATATCTCTTATCACACCTGAAGAACAATCCCTTCACCCTCTGATCCTGTAGCTCATTCTTGGTGAGCTTTTTGAAGTCCCCCCTTCTTACAAGCTTCTTCTTTGGGTCTCTAGAGGAAACCCCATTGGCGATCCCCTGGGTGCCAAAAATGTGATGGTCATCATCCTATATGAGCTTCCTGAGCTATTATCCCTGGTCCAGGTGCTTCCGGTCCTCCACCAACTGTGTTAACTTCATAGCCTCTCCCAAGTCACGAGGCCTCATCACTCTCACAGCCGCCCATATCTCTAATTTGAGCCCCTTCATGAAGTTCCCCTCCAGTACAGTTTTAGATAGTCGATATAGCCGACTAGCTAGATATCAAACCTCTCACGGTACTCCACCACAAAACCTTCCTGCGTAAGAGCAAAGAACTGCTCATAGGAGTCCCCTCTTGCTGGTTCGGAAACGTTCCAATAAGCAATCCTTGAACTCCCTCCAACTCCGACCTCTCCATTGGTACTAGGCCAGTGCCTTCCCCTCTAAACATAAGACTGTTGTCGTCAATCTCTCGTCCTTCGTCAATCCATTAATAGTAAAATGCCTCTCCACCTTTTAGATCCACACATATGTATCCTTTCACTCAAAAATGGCCATCTTCAGTTTCTTCACCTTCAGATCGTCTCCGTTTCCCTTAAATCCTCCATAACCTCCCATCCCACGAATTGTTGGACCTCCCCAAATGTCCTGACCCTCTCTTATGTGCTCGTAGCTAAACATTTCTTCAAAAAACCCCCTTCTTCTTTCCATATTATAACCCATTTGCTCAAAATCAACCCCCCCTCTTGCAAAATCAAAACCCATTAGTTCAAACCTACTACTCATCCCCTCCCTAGAAAAAAGTTCTAGGTGAGGCATCTCATCTTCTCCCTCCAAAATCTCTACCTCTTGATTTTTCCCTATCATTATCATATTTGTGTTTCTACCACTTCCTTGACCGTCAGTGGCTCCTTCACCTTCGATGACATCATCCTGGGTTGAGCTTCAAGTAACTTCTTTAATATTTCTTCCACGATGGCGAACTTCCAATCCATCTTTTCATGGACGGCTGAAAATTGATTTTAAAAATTCGAAATCTTCTCCACAAAATCTGATTTTAATTGTCCCATCCCTTATTCCAATACTTCCATTTTTCTTCCAGCCATAAGTACCCTGAATCAATGCTCTGATACCAATTTGATAGATCACAAGTGTAGAAATTGAATAATTTGTTGGTTGAAAGTGAATTTCAGCAAGTGAAAATATGAAATAGAAAAGAAGCCTCGTGATAAACACTTGAAAAGCCTTGAAATTGATAAAATTTAAAAGAAAACAAACAACATACAATGAATCTTCAATTCAAGAGAAAGATCATTCTCTTCCAATCCTTAGCACACGGCTAGAGCCCAAGAAATTCTAAGATGACTCCTAAATTTAGCAAAACATAGAGAACCCTAAGTCCCTAACCCTAGGGAAAATAATCTACTTAAAGCAAAACAACAAACATCGAAATCCCTAAATAGACATTTACTTTGAATTTACCCTCCTAAACCGCCTCCTCCCTTCTTTAAAATATTAAATAGTAGGCCCCTCAACTTGCGAGCCCAATCCCGAGCGCGAATTCGAGTCGAGCTCAAAAGGTGAGCTCGACCTTAGCTCGTGCCACTAGAAATAAGCTTGCGAGTAGCTCGTGAGATCACGTCTAACGCGGTTCACCTTTCGCACGTCGTTCACTTTCCGCAGCCCACCTTCCGCAAGTTGCTCGACTATTCGCCTTCTGCAGTCGGCCATTTAGCATGATGCTCGCCTGTTCGCCCTCTATGGCCCGCCCTTTTGCACGTGGCTCACATGTCATAGACCTGCGTTTTGTCTTTCACTCGCACTTAATCGAGCTGCTTGACGAGTAAACAAGTCAAACGATGATTCAATCAAACTCCAGCTCGATTACGCAACGAGCTCGAAACTCGATAAGCTCGACTTGCAAATTGTTAATGAGTCGAGCTCAAGCGGGCTCGTGAGTGGGCTTGACTCATTTGCACCCTTAATTATGTTAAATGTATTTGAATAGCCTTCAATCACTATTGTCACTCTCCAACAACTATAAATGGAGATATAGATTGCACCCCAACTTCATATATTATAGTTCGTTTCATCATAAGATGACTTTGTTTGTCCATGGTTGGCACAATCATATTATTATATGCATTGCTATATTTTTTAGTTGATATTATCATTGATACTATTATGACGTAACTATGGAATCTTCCAAGTTTATTTAAAGAAAGATAAATGATGCATTTATACATATGAATCCAAAATATTTGAATTTTTTTTATGTCCCAATTTATAAAAAAAGATGAAGTGAAGCAATTTATCCATCTCCTCCACTATGTCCATAAGACTTCCAAGCATGAGGCTTTTGTATTACTATGAAGGAGAGAATGGTTTTAATGGGGCTTAAAAGAATTGATGAAAGAAAAAAAAAAAAAGGTTTAGGATTACTTCAAAAACTTCATTTAAATTTGGATTTTTTATTTATTTTAATCAAAATTAATATTAATTATCACTTTGGATAGAATTTGGCTATGAAGCATGGGCACTTTAAAAAGCCTTTTGTATTCACTGGGTAGAAGACATGCCTCTGACACACCTTAACATATACCTAACACACCATAAATTGTATCAGATAAGTTTTATTTCAAACTTAAGAATTAGACTTGGCCAATACACTCTTAAACACAACCAAGACTCAATCCCACATGGTCATGACAAGTGTTGACACAAAGGGCACATATAAGATGCTTTTTGGTTCAATAATTTTTTAGTTCATTGGATGATTGATGAGTTTACCATTGTTAAGTTCAATTAGTGATATATCAATATGTTCATATTTTGTGATATTTTTTAAAGATTATATAATCCTTTTTGGGTTAGCAGTAAATTATGTAGCCGAAAAAATGATAAAGGTGTGCCTAATAATAAATGCTAATGTTGATTTGATGTTTGGAATTAAATAAACCTGATAAAATATTGAAAAGCAATAGTAATTAAACCAACTTTACTTTTTCTTGGCACTTAATCTTTTACATGAGATCTTATAATTCACAACGTAATATTTTACGATAGAAAATATTTAGATTATGCCTTTTGGTTATGCATTTTACATTAATAATTCATTAAAAATATATATTGTATCATGGCATGTCATTTTCCATTTTTTATGGCTGTCATATCCTCGTGTCAGTGTCCATACTTCCTAATTTCTAGAGCTTATTTTAAAAGAAAGAAATTTACTACAAATATATCATTAACTGAATGTAGGACACAAGGCCAACAATAAATAGATGAGTAGGCAAGTACAAGGTCAGTTAAAAAGTAAAAAACAATACGGCCAATTGTAGATGGAATACCATGGAAGGAGCTAACGAATATTTAATTTTGATAATGTAAGAAGCTAAATTCAAACCAGTGACATCTACCAGAGAACTAGGGAACAGAGTATGCCACTTGAGTTAGGTTTATAAATAATGCATTTTGGATTTTGAATGATGAAATGGACTCTAAATTATTTCTATGTTCTACTTTTTCAATGTCGCTCTGCTTAACAAATCAATGCATAGTAAGAACTTTAAAAAGTATTTACAATTAAGAAGTTTATCTTGCAGGCCTAGAAATCTAATGTTGAAAGACTAAGGAACTTCAAATAGAAACCTAAGTGATGGAATAAACTTATTGCATATAAGCTTATTAAATAAGATGAAAAGAGAGGTGAAGCCATTAATGCTTGTTCTAATCCTTTAAAATATATGAAATTCAGTCAAGCAAAGTCTCATTTTTATCTATAACCATTTCATCATGTTCTAGTTCTTGAACTCTCATTGTTCTCTCTCCTAGCCACAACACAATGATATCAACAATATAGTTAAATAATAATTACCAGGATGATCAAAGTTATAGTCATTGGCACGTTCAGCTTCCTCTGCAGTCAAACCTCTGTAAAATGAATCCTGCAAGTTTCAAGTTAAATTGAATACAAGAAAAAAAATTTGAAAAAAAAAATAAAACATTAAGAATCATAAATTTCGAAATATATTGCTGAAAGAAAACAATTTATCTATTAGGATTCTCTATAGTATGTAATTAGACGCATCTTTCTATTTTAATGCAAATATGTCAGACTACTCTAATTATATTTCCAATAATATAATAGAAAGTAGTGTTACTGCTCAACACCATATTCAGTGTTCAAATTTATCATGTTAAATGCTATGTTGCACCGATACACCTATTTATGAAGGCGTGCTGTATCCGATACACCGATACACAGATACGCCTCCGATACTCCACCGATACGTGTCGGATACACCAAAGACGTATCCAATTAAAATACTATTTAATTTCAAAAGGACACACGTATCCGATACACGTGTCCGTTGAAAAACAAAAAGAAATCAGAAAAAAAAAAAAGATGCGTTGTATTTACTTCCGCGGATGCGAGCAAAGTTCTCTCATTTCTGAGATGGATTTGAGTCTCTTGATGATATGAGAATATTAGAAATTACTAATCTTTCACTTGATGAGCCTGAATTAAAAGCTATGATATTTATTGAAGATGATATAGAAGTTCAAAGACAAACCACTGAAGAAGCTAATCATATCATTCCTTATATTGAATAGTTAAAATTTTATGTGATAGACAATTTATGTTTATGCTTTTGTTGTTGTACTAGACATTTAATGCTTACTTATATTTTGATATTATAAGCTACAAGGCTACAAATGACGTTGTTGTCATTTTTTTTTGTAATTTAAAATATTATGCTTTGATTGCTTTCTTAATTTTTATATATGATTTATAAATTATGATGTCGTGTCCGCGCCGTACCCGTATCTTGTATTTTTAAGAATTGACGTATCCCGTATCCGTATCGCGTCGTATCCGTGTCGCCGTATCCGTATCGGTGCAACATAGGTTAAATGCTTAAGATATTAGCAGCATTATTATTATTAATGGTTGTAGTGACTTGCTAAACATATGCATTCTACCATATCATATTAAACATGACACCTAGCATGTCTCATTATTTCGTAACCTTAGAAGAAAATTCTAACCTTGTTTAGAAACCTCTCAAATACCTTATGGTACAATGTCAATATTTTGGACATATTATATACGAAAGATGTGAATCTAATTATGAAAACTAGACTTATTATATTTGATTTACTAATCCTAATATATAATAAGAATGAGAATTTTAATCCTATTAAACTTTCATAATTGTGATGTGGCTTGTTAGTTTATATATATTAGATATTTGTCATGTCCTTATTCCCCTATCATCGACATGCAGGCCATGCACATATCTAACAAGCTTTAGCAGAACAGAGCAATAAAAATTGATGTCACTACCTCATATCCCACCTAATCAGGTGCACTCTTTATGAATCATTCTTTGCCAAACATCAATGCTTCATGAAGAAACTATTGCTAATTGGAACTACCATTGTTGTTAATTTGAACTACCATTTTTCCTTGCAAGTCTTTCACATTAACTTTCTATTCATCCTCAACACACACTTTTGCTTCCTCTTTACATGAGTAAACCTTCCGTTAAACAATTATAAACTATGTTAACCAACAAGCCTGAAAGCTGAAGTTAGAAGATTGATGCACAAGAACACTATTTATATGCTAACACCCCTCATGCTTGAGCTCATTTAGCTGCGCAAGCAGTACTAAACAAAAGAATGGTCTGCATAAAAACATTAGGCCTAAAATATGCAAGACAATAAACTAATTTGAGACCCCTTGCTCCAGTACCATGTTAGACGCCAGTAAGCAGCCAAATTAAACTAAAGTTTGTATTTTGATGCCAAGGAATTATCTTTGAATTCTAAGAGCCTTCAATTAAGTTGCTCACATGCTTTTTAATCATCTTACATCAAACTTTTTGGTCCATTTTAAGCATTCCACTTCTCTTTCAACATTCAACTTGCATTTATGTGCATTCATTGTTGCTCAAAATAAGCTCCAATCTTTGCAAAACCTCTATCTACCAACTGCCAACGCTGCACTCTAAAACAGTACAGAACCCAACAAAATGCCCGGATAATGCTGAGGAAAAGAGAAGAAGAAAGGACAGAAGTGAACACTACAACGATTTACCATACACGAAAACTTGTAAAATCATTAAAATCTGCTGTTTATAGCAAGACACTAATGAAATCAAATTCAAAAAGAAGCAAGCAAATCATTTAATCGCGAGGCTTATGGGAGATCATGTAACAATTAAACCTACTTACCATTCATAAACTATAACCCAACGAGAATTTGCGAGAATAATCAGTCAAAAATAAAGATACTTATCCCTTTACCTGATAGACAAGAACAACCCGCTGGTCATGAAGCCGCTGGATGATCATGTCGCATACAGTAGTTTTCCCGGAAGCCGAACCGCCCGAAACCCCTGCCACGGAACCCATTGTTCCTCGTCAAAAAGAACAAAATAAAGAAGTAGTCTGTGGTTAGGTTCAGGGTGTACCTATAACAAAGGGCTGCTTAGGTTCTTCGGGCAAGGAATCGTCGGCAATCGGTCCGGCGACAGAGGCCTTCGCGGAGGATGGCGACGACGGGGCAGAGGAAGTAGACAAGCGGAGAGAATCAAGGCGAAGGCCGCTGAAGTGTGGCCCCGACGCCGCCTCCATAACGTCGTCCATGGCCTTCTCTGGCATCCCCTCTCTCGCTCTCTCTCTCTCCCTGTCAAAGCGACTCATGATCTCTCCTTTTTCTTTCTTTAGTCTTTTTTTTTTTCACCAAATAAAAATACATAAATAATTATACTATGTAAAATTAAGAAAAAAGCAAATATATTATTAAGAGAAAAAAAATTTACTCAAATAAAACTATTAATAATATTTTTAGATTAGCTAATTAATTAATTTAAATTAGTTAATTTAACATAAAAATAATTATTAAAACTATTTATTTTATTTTATTTAATAATATTAAATTAATTTAATTTAATTTGATAATAAACTATTAAATTGCTTAATTTAAATTAACAAAATGAATAATTATAAATATTTATTTCTAATTTTTTTTAGAAAATTTTAAATTTTGTCGTAAATCTGTTAGAAATCTCATTAAAAAATCCATAGGTAATCCACCAAAATTTTGAATGGATTTATTTCCACCAAAAATTAGGGTTATTTATGTAGTGTTTATGGATTTCAAGGTAATGATTCTTACTTTTCGTTACTGGGCATATTAATTCGTATTATTTTTAAGTGATCAGTGGTGATATTAAACTTTATAGATTCATTGGTAATATTAAACATAATGATACTAAATCTAATTTCTCATAAAATCTTCATATAAATACCTCTGATAGTTTATTATCATATAATACTCATAAGGTATCTCTATGCATGATTTAATTATCTAGACGACCTAAACACATATATCTTCATTTATATTACATTATGTTATATAATCTTGCTAAGATATTATTACTATCACAGGCATTTATCATTATTTTTAATAATATTAATTGATAATTATTAATATCATATCTTTTAAAATTGCATATTGCATATCATATGCTTTGTCTATATTTTATTAATCCTAAGTTCATTACATTATTTTATTTAATCTTTTTAAGATAATTGAAAACTATCACATGCATGTATCCTTATCTTTTATTAATATTCGTTGATACTTATTAATATTTTATCTTCTAAAATGTATACATGTTGCATATTAAGGGATCTCACTTTAAATGTCTTTTATAAGCATCTCCATGCAACAACAACAACAACATCAAGCTTTTATTCCACTATGTGGGGTTGGCTACATGAATCCTATTTCTTCATTGTGTCATGTTAAGAGTTAAATTTTTATTTAAATCTAATAAACAAATGTCATTTCTAATATTTTCTAATCAAGTCTTTCTAGGTCTTTTTATTTAAGACTTATTTTGGGACGATTTTCTTACTGCTTCTTTAAACAGCTTCTAGTGCAAAATTTTTAATTTTGGTATTGAAAAGCTGCTTAAACAAGCTGTAAAAAAGCCATCCTCAATGAAGCCTAAATGTAATAAAAAAATATGATTTCTAATATTCTCCAACCGAGTCTTTTTAGGTCTTAACTATACCCTTTTTAACATAAGCAAAATCTTATACATCTAATTGGGTCATCAAAAGGCCACCGTTTTATGCGACCAAACCATCTAAGATGACTCTCTCACGTGTATGCTAATTTCGTATCATGTCTCTGAGAGTAAATATACTCATCCACTTGAGCATCCTCATCTCTGTAGCACTTAACTTAATATTATACTTCTCTTTTAATGGCCAACATTATGCACCATAATGCTACATGTATAAGCATCTCCATAATTAAAATAAAAAATATACAATATTTTTAAATGAATAATACAAAGTATTTATTATTGACATAATCCGACTATAATATTTGTTAAAGATCTATAAACATATGTTTAATAACTTTAATATATTTCTGGCAAACACCTTTTTTTTTCCTTAAGACATACAACTTATTTTTTATGATACTAGACAATAAGCCTTTTTAAAATTAATATAAATTAAATAAAGATTATATCTTTTCTTTTTATAAAATTTTCATCAATTGCCTTAGTATACCAAGAATTTCTATTATGAATATTCTTGGCAATGAACTAAATTGATTCTCAAATATCAACGTAATGTTTTTAACATATATTATACTTCTCTCTCCATAACATCATCAAAAGACTCATAAGTTTATTCTCTTTGAAACTATTGCAATACTATACATAACCTTTTTCCTTAAATATTAACACAATTAGTTCTCTTAATTGACAATATTAGTGTTCTCAATTTTATCAAAAGGATTTAATAATCAAATAATTATAATATCACCACAACTCTTTAAATTTTAATAAATATATGATTTTGGTGTAAAGATTTTATTCATGCATCTATTTAGAGTTAATTTATCTCTTTACTTTTCATATCAATCTCTAATATACCATATTTTTTTAGTTCATTATATTATCTTCAAAAACTTTTTATTTCATAAATCTCCCATTTTTCTACTATCCTACATTTATCCATAGTACACATGAAATTAACTTATTGTTGAGCCTTGGCTTGAAAGTTGAGGTTTCTCTTCCTTTGAAATTCATTCTTCTATTATTCTTATAAGTTTGATTGAGTCTTCTCTTCATCCCCAAATTGAGTATTCTTTTCTTTCTCATGTTGAGTCTCTTCCTTTCCTTTAGAGGCGAGTGATTCTTTTTCTAGTTACCTATTACATTTTGGGCATGTACATTCGCACATCATCATTTACTAAAGGTATGAACAATGTTTATACATTGAACTTAATGAGGAAGATTTAGTTCTAATTTTAATTAGGACTATAAGATTTCTAATTAGATCTCTTAAAAACCTTTCTAAAAAAACTATGAGCATTATAGAATTGTGAATAAAATTAATGAAAATGCTTTTATGATGGATATTCCTTTGGATATTTAAACTTCTGAAATATTCATGTGCCAAATTTAACATTGCACTAGGTGGCAATGAAAAATTCATTATCATTTTTATTTCTCTCTACAAATAGTATGGACTTGCAGTTTAATAATAAGTGATCATCACCAACATTATTACTTTGACTCATCATTAAGTTTGTTTGTGATATGCACGCCCACATGTTCATTAATGTAGATATCTCTCATCTTTTAGGGGGGTTACTAATGAATTGGAACAACTATAGTAGCTTATTCACATCCACTCCCTTATGTATTCAGGGGCTTCATTTGACTGTTTTGAATTCATTAAAAATGAGAAAGATGATGTAAACCATATTTTTATGCTACTTTAGTATTTCATGGGTATAAATCTTTAATATATGATATCATATTGTACTTTTATTTTCTCTTACTTTTTCTCTTTTAGTTACCCATGTGTTATTTGATCGTTTAAGCCATGGTGTTATTTTTTTGCTTTGTATTATGAGTTTTATATGTGTTTTAGGCTTATGTTGCATGTCTTTTGTAATTTCTTGCCATGTGATATTAGCTATCTAGGCTATGGCTTTGAGCTAGCCTTAGCATTCCTATGCAGTTGCCTAGCCTAATTACCCCCTTTTTTATCATCATCATCTATGTTGACCTTTACATCATCGTTTAGATTTACCACCTTATTTGAGCGTCAATCACTTAGTATTTGTATACTAATATTTTTTAAGCTATATGATATTATGATGGGAAGCTAAATCAAATACAATTACCTACTTTAATATATGAATTTTTTCTCTCTGATGTCATAGGCATAGAAAAGTTAATCATGCTTATCAAATAAAGCAAATTTTATTTTTTGTTTGCTTTGAATTTCTTATAGTTTTATTTTTTATCTTCACTTGTGCAATAACTCCCAACAAGTGCCAATAAATACCACCAGTAAGGTGATTTAGGTCCTAAAAAGAAGTCATTAGGATTTTGTGCAAATTGAAAATGTTTACTCCTAAACAACCCACTACTCAAATGTGATACTTGCTAGCATGATTAACACTTTGAGCAAAGCTTTTCAATGGCACCCTTAGGATTCTTACAAATTTGGGTTGTGAATGAACCAACAAGATTTTGTGCATTTAAAAAATGTCTCCTTTTGTTAAATACATCATTCGAATGTCAAAAAATAGTTAATGAATTTAATTAGCGAGAATAGTTTTTTTAAACAATTTGCATGTATTCTTATAAATGTAGCATTCAATTACCACTAAAAAATCAGCACTTAGCATGTTTCATTGTATTTTGAGATTTTAGTATAGCACTAATTAAGCACTACATCCCACAAATCTGTTTTTAAGAAAAAAGAATGGATAAGGAAAAAGATTGAAGAACTAACTAAGTTCTATTTATTGTCTGTTTAAAGAGGAGCATACATCAACGACCCCCACGACAACGACACAAATCTTAGGTCATCCATAAAGTTTGTGTAATTAATTTGTAGGATTTCTAGCATAATTGGTTTAGATGAGTAACTAATCAGTAAACCTAACAAAATTATTTAAAGCTTTTGCATGTTAAATTTGCTTGAGCACCACTATCAAGTTCAAAGAACTTTCTAAGAATGATTATGGATTTAGACCTCTGAATTCTTTCCATCGAATTTTTTCCGCACATACAAGAATGATTATTAGTAGTTAGTTGCTTTGAATGGATGATAGAAAGACATTCTTGTCATCCATGTTTTGCTCATGCTCTAGCCATATATGGTATCTTATAACAAAAGAAATTGTTCCATTTCGACATTATTTTTCTCTTTATGTATTTCAGTATGTTGAAGACTCTTGAGAGGTACCAGAAGTCTAACAATGGGGCACCAGAGATGACTATGACATCAAGAGAGACTCAGGTGATCAATTTGCTCAATTTTTTTTCTTTTAACAAAATTTTAAGCTTTATTATTTTTATTATGATTATATATATACATTCATACTTTATAGTGTACTGCTATAATATATCTCCATTGCAACTCTTTTATTTAGTACTTTGGTGTTGAAATACAATGTTCTTTAGCATTTTATAATCAAATCTCCACATGTTATGGCTGATTTCCCTTTTTAGTTCTTTTTAGTATTTCATGTTGGTATGTATGTTATAGGAAGTGGTGCAATTTCAGCAAAATCAGAGAATGACATAAGAAATTTAGGAAGAATAATACAAAAGAACTATTTTTTATTAAAAGAACTAAGAGGAAAAAAACATCATATATAATTGGATCTAGCTCCCCCAAATCCTTAGCTGTCGGCTATAGCCCACTCAACATAAGCAAACCTAATTCCAACAAAATCAAGTATAATATGAAATCACCCTATGGTTTACATTAAACAGGCTCCCCTAATTCCCTCCCAAATTAGTCCCATTTCCCTAAATAATCTTCTCTCATATTTGAATTCAAATTAAACATCTTTCCCTAATTAATTCCCTCCCAATTATAACTAAAACTTTTCTAAACAATTCCCCCTTGGTTCCTCCTTACATAATGAATATTAACTCTCTTGGGCTTTCCCTAAATAATTTTCTCTCAAATTTGAAATTCATATTAGATTTTTTTTTCTCTTATTAATATCCCACCAATTGTAATTAAAACTTTTCTAAATAGTTTTCCCTCTCTCTTCCTACACGCCACCCACCCTAATGTGGCCCACCAGCTTAGTCGCTAGTCTATCAATATGCCAAGTTCCATTTTTAGAATTGATAGATTATTTTGCCATATTGGATGACATGAAATTAAGAGAGTTTTTAGCATAACTTACCTGCTGAAAAAGGAAACCATAGTTTAAAGTGATGTCTACTTTGTCCAAATTCATGTACAAAAATATGTTGTGTCCAAGTGTCTTTCCTAAAATGGTGGTGTCAAGTTTTTGGTAATTAGCTTATAACGAAATTGAGAATTGAGAATTTGCATGCTCCCGATCGCTTATCCATACAACTTTCACTTAAATCTCTTTTTCCTTGAGGTACTTATGTATTATAATTTGGCCGAGGAGACATTAACATAGGCCAGTTTCCACTTCTATTTGGGTAGCATAAACCATTTGATCATGTGTTTAAGGTTTAGGATGCCCAGCCCACTAAAATTGTTAGTTTTGTTCACTTGTCCCTATTTGCTAGGTGGTATTTTCTCTTGCCATTTGCCGTTATTCTAAGGGGAATCAAAACATCTTCTCAACCTCTCTCTAACCCAATATTATAGATAGAGATGGCAGTTAAATTGCATTCTTTCAAAGGGAGTTTAATGTATCAAAACATAGTGTCACTCTTTCACCCATTGACAATGATATTCCATCTTTTGTTTAATAAATTCTTCTAGCTCTAGATGTTGTATGTCTTCCTTCCTTAGTGTGAAACCTGTTAAGTAAAAAAAAGCTAAACTCTAAACATGGAGGTGCCTTTTGGTGTAATGGTTAGAATTTTTGTAAAAATCTTCGATCGTAGTCAAACGTGCTCATCCCAGAGCAATTCTGGGATGGGTGACCTACTGAAAAGTTACACAAACAGAAAAAAATTTTGAAGCTCTTAGGCCAAAGTATACAATATATCGATAGTAAAGAGTTTGGATTGTTACAAATGATATTAAAGCAATACACCAGCCAAAAGATGGGAACTAAATATCATACAAGACAAAGTGCTACGCCATGGGAGCCACCTCTTGAATCCTATATGGAACAAAGTGCTACGTAACATGAGCTACCACTTGAACTTATAGGGGACACCTCTAGAGTCATATATGCATGGTGGATGATTCTGGGATACAGATGTTGACGATAACATCAATTACTTAAGTGGGGGAGATTATGAAACTCATTAAGTAAAAGAAAGCTAAACTCTAAACACTGATGTGCCTTTTGGTGTAATGTCTAGAATTTCTGTAAGAAACTCCGTAGTTAAGTGTGTTCATCCCAGAGCAATTTTGGGATGGGTGACTTATTGGTAAGTTCTACCAACAGAGCAAAATCATGAGGCTCTTAGGCCAAAGCGGATAATATCTCTATTGTAAAGAGTTTGTGCTATTATACTTAAGTTGTTTAAGACTAGTATACGCAGATAATTAAGTGGAAAGGCCATTCCAAAAAGCATGTTAAATCTATGGTAAATAGTTAGCAAGGTACAATCTAACCCAAAAGCTGTGTTTCTAATAATTAATTCTTAGCCTTAATAAAATTTAAGGATAATTCTTTGCTTTAAAGGGATGATCTCCTCAGTTTCATGTTTACAAAGACGAGTCTTTCATCTGCCTACTGTAGGATGGCTACTCTAACCATATTCAAGATTTTCAAACTCTTTCAATCAGCTTCAATTCTAGTGCTCATTTGAAGCCTTAAAATAGGGTTTGAATTACCAAGATGAAAACTAAGAATAAGGTGGGTAGCTTGTTTCCTGCTTCTCTTTCAAATGAGATTTTATTAAGATGTAATTAATACAAAATTAAAATTTAATACTGGTCTGGTTAGACTAGATCGTATTGCACTAGGAAGGGTGAAAATCTCTAGTTTGTATAGTTTATATGAGCTTCATTTGCTGTCAAAAGTTTTTCAAGAAGTCTAATTTAAATAAAAACATAATTTATTCTTTGTAGTCACAATTAGATCAATGAATCATAGGGACAAACCAGCCTTTTAAGAATAGGTTTTATTTTATGATATGAAGGTACTCTAAAAAAAAAAAAAAAGAAGGTACTCAGCGAGGACTCAACTAGTTAGGTGTGGTGGCTAATCTACCTGATAAATGTTAGGGTGGAAGTAAAACATGTGACAAACAACTAAAAATATAAAAGCAACAAAAATAAAGTACACAAGGATTAACATGGAAAAACTTGAAACCAAAAAAAAAAAAAAAAAAACTATGGAGCCTTACAACACCAACAAATATACTATAAAATCTAGGAGAATTAGAAAATATCTCTCACTCTCTCATTGTCTCTCTTCTCTCACGCTCTCTCCTTGACTCTCTTCTCACTAGCATCTTTTTTACACAAGAACAAATAAAAAAAATAAAAAAAAAACCATCAAGGGACGCAACCCTTTATGAAAAATGAGAAAGAAAACTGTTTTGTCCTCCTAGCAGCATCGCGACCCTCAATTCTCGGTCTTGTCTATATGAAAATGGCGGCCAGGGTCTGGAGCGTCGTAGCACCTCTTGACCGCAATGAGGTTTGGAGCACCACAGTGCTCCACTCTTTATTTTTTTCACCAAATTAAGCAGTGTCGTGCATGGTGCTCAGGTACACAACATTAGGGTGCTTTAGTACACAACACCAGGTTGTTGTACGAAAAATATTTTTCAGGTGCAAAGCACCTAAACCCAAGGGGGTGGACCTCGTGTAGCTCCCCTAGTGAATTCAAAAAATTGAATTCAGGTCTGAGGCTATAGTGCAACCCGATTGATCGGCATAATCATATTTCACATAAAACTAGCAATCTCCAACTTGCAAACTGATTGCAGTCAATCCTTTTCTTGATTTATATAGCATCAATCATAGTATATATAGTGTGATTCACCCCTACTCTTATCCTTCATGAAGACCAATTGAAACTAGGCATAACTTCAATTTATCAACTATCATGGTCTTCGTCAATATGTCTGCAAGATTATAGGTTGTATGTGCATCATCCTAGCATGTAATATAGTATTCTTCGATAGTTGAATAGCTCTTATGCTATTACTCAAAAATTTCTCATTCTTTTGCCATTTGCCAAGTCCGGGCAAGAAACTTTATAACTATATTATCTCCTTGCTAACCTTAGTGATAGTTAGATACTCAGCTTTTATGATTGAGAGAGTAATAATCTTCTATAACTTGAAAACTCAACTCATTGTAGTCTTTCCCAAAGTGAAAATATAACCAGTTATGCTTCTTCTAGCATTAAGATCTCTAGTAATCAAAATCTGCATACCCCTGTAAATCAATCCCTACATCTTCAAAGAAAAGAGCTTTATCGATAGGTCATCTCAAGTATATGAGAATCCACTTAATCGCCTCCTAATGAAGTTTGTCTCAGTTTCTCATAAATTTGCTAACTACTAGCACTGCATATGTTATATCTGATCTCATACATTAAACTTTCAATTGCTTAAGCATATGAAGTCCTTGCCATCTATTCTTGCTCTATTTTAGATGCAGGTGATTGTTCCTTAAATAGTTAAAAATGACTATCTAAGAGAGTGTAAACTGCTTTGTCTCACTCATGTTGAATCTCTACATAACCTTTCGACATACTCAGCTTGAGACAACTTCAGTATATATGTAATTCTATCTCTGTTCATTCTCATACCAAAAAAAATCTTTGTTGGGTCTAGTTCTTTCATTTTAAACTCTTTTGATAGCTGCTTCTTTAGATGTCTTATTTTCTTATATCTGACCAGCATGTATTCATCATAAAAAATAGAATAATATAATGATTATCAAAATATTTAAAATAATAATAATTATTATCTTTTTAGCATTTCTTGGACCCATTATCTGACATAAATATATCAAATCTCATATACCACTATCTTGGTGCTTGCTTCAGCTCATTTAGGCTCTTTTTGAGCTAACACATTAGATCTTCATTATCTATGATCATATAACCTTGAGGTTATGCCATGTATAACTCTTCCTTAAGATTATCATGAAGAAATATTTTCTTTACATCCATCTACTCTGGATGTAAATCCTTCACTACCATTATGCTCAATATAACTCTGATTGCAATCATCTTCACTATTAGATATAAAATTTTAGAGAAGTCCTCTCATTCTGTTTGCTAAAAGTCTTTAACTACAAGTATGGCTATGTAGCACTTATTACCATCAGATTCTTCTTTCTGTATGTAAGCACACTTATTATATAGAGTTTTCTTTCTATCT